GAGCGAAGGAAAAAATACACGAGAAAGCTGAGAAAGTGAACTTTGAAATAAAAATGTTGAATTACAAAAATTGTCGGCAGCCGCCCACAAGCGGAAAGTAACAGCTGCCGAAATACGTACAGGCAAAATAAAAATATAATAAGCTGTTGTACGATAAGGCAAGCTGAAGCAAAAAAAACAAAAGGCAAAAATTCAGAAAGCGGCAAGTCTAAAGTTGAGCGCATGATGAACCGCAAGATTCTGAAGACGACTGCCCGAGTTCCTATGCTTCAGCCTGAGGATCAGACTGATCAGCTTCATTGGGCCCAATGGTGGTCTCAGCTCCAGCAGCAGAAGAAGCAGGCTTTGCACTCTGCCGAGCCTCCCTTTCCCTCTGCTCAGCCTCCAACTCCATCCTCTCAGCTTCTTCCTCGGCTTCCTCAGCCTTAAGGATTTCAGCTTCGATTGGAGTTGCATACTTCATGTGAGGGTCTTCGGGATCTTGGACCCATTCAGCACATTTGGACCAGTCCAGCTTCGGCTCAGCATGAAGGCAGACCCTTCGGCACACTCTGAACCCGTTTCTAAAACCCATTTCATACTCTTCTTGGGTATAGATACGGACTTTGAGTAGAGCCTCAGCATCGGCCAACTTCTTCTTCGTCTCCTCCAAGTCTTCCTCGGATCTCTTCAGCTCATCGACGAGCTTGGAGGAGGAGCCTTTCAGCTCGGTAAACTCTTGCTGAACCTGGGAAGCCTCGGCCTGAACTTGGACCATTTCTTCCTTCTTGGCAGTGAGCTGATCCTCAGCCTCTTGTAGCTTAGCTCTTTGAGCTTCAGCAGCAGCAGCAGCCCTTGAGAGTTGGACATCCCTAGCTTGGAGCATCTCTTCAGCAGCCATTCTGCTGGCTTCAAGAGATTCTAGCTGATGCTGCACCTCAGCCTGTGCAGCAGCTCCTTGGATTCGGCTCTCGATAGCAGCCTTGAACTTGGAGATGTCCACCCCCAGGTGCTCTTGGAGGAATTTTTCCCCTTCCATCAGTGGGGGAAAAACCTCCATCTCCATAGCATCACAGAAGGTTTTCAGAGCTTCGGCAGCTTTTTTACCGTACTCCTCAACCTCCTGCTGCTTCTCTTCAGCTGCTGCCTGCTTCAGCTTAGCAAGCTTAACTTCCTCTTCAGCCACCTTCCTTTCGTGCACAGCAGCGTCCACCCTATCTTGTAGGGAATCTATCAGCTCTACGGTGAGAGTCTGATTGTGCACGAACTGAAAACAGGGGCACAAGTTAAAAAAGTAAAAAATAATAGCTGAAAGGTTGAGTTCAGAAAGAAATCAAGGCAAGGAAAATTACCTGCATCATCAGCAGTTGGTTAGACCTGGCTGGGTCAGGAACTGATCTACTGGATTCGCCCATCCCAGCAGTGGCCTTCAGCGACCAGATCCTTGCCCTGTCTACTTCGGACATGCCAGCAAAATTGCCGAAGTAGGCTGCAGCCCCTTCTCGGTTTTGACCCCATATGAGGTCCCAGATGTGATCTGGGATTGGAATTCGGGGGGCCGAGAAACCCATTTCTCCAGAATGCAGAGTCTGGAAAGAAGGGAAGGACGACGATGGAGCTTGATTAGCTTTGGTTGTCTCAGCATCGTCCTTCTCAGAGGAGTCAAGTACTATGACCTCCTCTTCTTCAGGGGTGAGGACGAAAGCCTCAACCTCTCTTGCGATATCTGCCGTGAAGCCTTCAGCACTTGACATCACGGCATCTTTATTTTCGTGCTCAGCAGCACTCTCCTTGATTTCTTCTTGGACCCCTCCCTTAGGTCCGGGAGTTCTCTGATCCACCTCCATCTCAGGAGGTGGCGGAGGGGTCTTTTGAGGAGATTGGGGTGTTGGCTGGGGAACCCTCGGCGATCCATTGCCTTCCTCAGGTTCCCTTATTGCGACGCCGATGGTCATCGGCCTCTGCTGAAAATCATGAGGGCCGATGATGGCCATCCTTCGGCGCCTTTTCAGAAGGGGCTGCTCGTCCATATCTGAATCTGAAGACTCTTGTATTTGATCTTCGGGACGAACAGGAGCTTTGCCTTCTCTGTGTCTGTTACTCTCTTCAGACTGTAACAGACAGGGGGGAAGAAGAGTGTGAGTAAAAAAAAAAAAAAAAAAAGAAAAAAAAAAAAAAAGAAGAAAAAAGTTGTCTAAAAACTCACCGAGGTCTTCAGCAAAGCCTCGTCTTCTTCAGCTGCTCTAGCTGCAGCTTCGGCTTCAGCAGCTCTGGAGGACCCTTCTCCTCCTTCACAAGCCTCAAGTACCCGTGCAACCTCTTCGGCTGTGCGGGCAGCTTCAGCTTCTTCTTCCAGCAGCTGAAACAAGGGATCCCTCTTCTTCCACCAAGGCTTCTGCCTCTGATACAGAGCAACAGCCTCAATTTGGAAGTGGGAAGAGTCTAGGTGAACCTCTCGGCGCCTTGGTTCAGTGATAGGGGGAGCCCGATCAGTTACGACTCGTTCTCGGTTGACGCCAAGGCGAGCGTAATCAATGCCGATGTTGGTCTCGTCCCGTTCTGAAAAAGAAAAGGGGAGAAGTCAATTCAGTTAGTTCGGCACATCACAAGAAAGCAAAATGAAAGAAGAAAAGAGATAATAAAGGCCTCGGCCCCAGCCGAAGAAGATTACCATCCCTAAACTTTCGGCTGAGGCCGACAGCTGCCAGCATATTCTCTTGGAAAACATAGTGCGTATCGGGGAGCCAAGTCTCCGGGATATGCTGCATTCGGCCGCTGCCTCCCCGGTTCGGCAGCTTGCCGAAGATGTTCTGCTGATTAAGGTTCGGGTCTGGCCCGCTATCTTCGGGAGGACCTAAACTTCCCATATCAGGATCCGGCTCGGCAAGATACCGGGGAGCGCTGAAAACATAAGGATGGCTCGGCTCCGTGGGCGCCCTAACCCAAATCCATTGACCTCTCCAGTCCTTGTCTGAAGAGTCGTTCGGCCACATGGTTAGGAACGGGGGCCGAGACTCAATCCGATACCACCCAGAACCATGGCTTCCGTGCCCACTCTGAATATTTGGCACTAGCCGATGGAGCTTTCTGAAGCAGTGCAGGTTCGGCACGTATCTGAAGAATTTGCAGACCCATAAGTACGTCATTACCCTTCGGATGCTGGTGGGGGTCAGCTGGCACAGGGAAATGTTGTAATGGATCAGCAAGTCTCGGACGAATACGTCCAAAGGGAACCTCAGCCCATACTGAAGCTGTCTCGTGTACACCCCCACATACCCCGGGGGTGGACGATGGATTCTATCGGATGCTGAGGGCATTCGGCACCAATATCCATCAGCTTCAAAAATGCCGTAGTGCAACTCAATTTGCTCAGCAAATCGATATTGATCGGCGTTCTCTACCCACCATGAGTAGGGACGGTTCTTTATCATGGCCGAAGCTACTTCGGCATCCTCCCACTCTGAAAACCCGGGGAGGATATCCCAAAGGACAGCGGGAACTTCATCATCCCGTCCTGAAGCTCTCACCCCCTCAGCCCTCTGAGGAAGAGCCGAAGAAATGGGAGTCGCCCTAACCCCTTCAGCAGGGTCAGACTCTGTCCTTCGTCCATTCCAGGTCCCAATCCTGTCCCTGGGATCGGGGATTAGCCTTGCTCTTCTTGGAGCACGGGCTCCACCTCTAACTCCCCTCACCATCGACGAATTTCGAAGGAAAAAGTCGAAAAAGGGGAAAGAGTGCAAAGTCGAGGAAAAATGAAATAAAATCAAAGGAATTTACCTTGATCTGAAGCAAAAGCCGCCGATTTACGAATTGGTAGTGACAAGTCTCAGCTTCTAAGCTTAATGCTCGGGGAATTTGCGAAGTTTTGATGCGGGCTCTTGAGCGTTCTTGAGAATTCTGGGTTTGTGTTGATGAGTGAGTGGGGAGAGAAGACGCGCCTCTATTTATATCTCCAGAAATGGGAATTCAAGGAGTCTGCGTTTCAATTTCTCTCAAGCACCCCACTAAGTAGCCGTTAAACACACGACCTTGCAGTTAAATCGCCCATTACCCGTCCAACTTCCGCAATCATCCACATTAACTGTTGTTATCTCATTAATCATGGGTTAATTACGGTTTAAATTCACATTTTTGGATCAGCAAATCATTCACTTCCCTCCTTTTCTGGTTAAATCAAACCCGACCCGTCATCCTTCCAAATCGGGTCTGGGGGGCAAGTTGTTTGGGTCCAATTTAGTCCAATTGGGCCTGGTCACTGAATGATCCAATTAAAAGCCCAAGGCAAAGGTTCAACTCTCCAAACATGCTAAAGTCAAAAATCAACATCCTCAAAGCCATGTCAAGGTCAGTCAACGGCCCAATCAGCTTGGCCCAGCCCAACTGATTTCCGGGCCCAATCCGCCTCCTTCATTAGCCAAGGTATAAAAGCCAACAATTTGGTCAATTCTTGGTAAGAAAAAGACAATAAAGCCTCAAGCAACTAAACTCTTGCACAGCTTTCTCTCTCTAATATACTGACTTAAGCATCGGAGGGGCCTTCCTCGGCGTCCCCCCCGAGGCTAGTTTACGTGTATTTGTTGTGCAGGAAACCCTCGGCTCCGGCGTCGTTCGGACCGAGACCAAGTTCCCTCAAGATAAAAGGATCTTCCGAGATTCGATTGTTTTCATCCGAAACACAAACTATGTTTTAATGATTATTATTCACACACTTTTCTATAAAAGCCTATAAAATTATACCAAAAATAGTAATATAAAGAGATATTAAGTACATAATGACTTATCACCTCACTACCTCCATTTTGGATATTAGTAGCTGCTTACTTTGCCTCGGATGTGGCCACATAGCACTAGAGACTTATTATGCATCTCAGCATCTGCTGATCTATTGTTTCTTGATGATATATGTCTGATCTTATTTTGCATTAAATATTATTTAAATATGAAATTTAAAAACTTTCTCATTTTTAGATTAATTTAATTAAGTGTGAATCGTTTTTTTTTTTCTTTTACTTTTACGGAGTAAATAAATTTATTGAAAGATATTTTTTTTAAGTGTTATTGTGTGCCAGTGACACGTTAGAAATCCCATAATATGATATGAGCAAAAAACTAAAACGTACATTATATCAACCTTTCATCTTCATATCCAAACACAAAATCGACAAAAAAATGTCACAAAATCATGAAATTATACAAATAAAATTCAAAATAAATGATAGTAGCATGTTATACAAAAGTTGTTGGGGGTACTATAATCCTGGTCTTCTAATTTGTTGTAGCAGCTTATTACCTATACATCTTTATATATGATCATCTAAAGCTCCTCCTTAATTATGTCTTAATTTCAATTATTGTCGGACAACAGTCCTTTAAAACTCTCACCTTACTCCTTCCTATTTCACTCCAATTTTTCTTAATGGCTAAAATATCTCCTAATTCATGTATTTTTGCTCTTTTGGCAATCTTTATTATTTTTTCATTACCAATATTAACTTCTTGTAGGGATTTTTCACTTTTTGGGTCCAAAACTACTACTTTAGATGTCAAAAGTTCTCTTCAAAAAATAGCTCCAAATTCCTATAAATTGTCTAATGTGCAACATTTTCAAAGCACTAATAACTCTTCTTTTAGTTTAAAGTTACACTCACGTCATCCAATGTACCAAAATAAACATGACAACTACAAATTTCTCCTTTTAACTCGATTAGCTCATGACACAATTCGAGTTGGCTCGATCCATACACGAGTTAGTCTTGCAGCTGAACAAAATCTAAGAGCCCCCATTGTCTCGGGTGTAAGCCGAGGGAGTGGGGAGTACTTTAGTCGTGTGGGGATTGGAAATCCACCACGTGAAGCATATGTGATAATTGACACGGGAAGTGACTTAAGTTGGGTACAATGCCAACCTTGTACTCAATGTTTCACCCAACCGGACCCGATCTTTGACCCAACCCAATCCACCTCATTTGGATCCCTCCCATGCAACTCCACAACATGCAACGCGCTAGACGAATCCGAGTGTCGTGCGGGGAGTTGCATCTACGAGGTATCTTACGGTGACGGGTCCTACACCACGGGCGACTTCATAACCGAGACCATAACTTTCGACGGTGGAGACACCATCCACGACATCGCAATCGGGTGTGGCCACAACAACGACGGGTACTTCACCGGGGCAGCCGGGCTACTCGGGCTTGGCGGAGGATCATTGTCATTACCCTCTCAAATAAACGCGACGTCGTTCTCCTACTGTCTCGTAGACCGCGAATCTAACTCAACCTCCTCCCTAAACTTCAACACCAATGCATCAATACTTCCAGCTGATCCAACCCTAATCACAGCACCACTACTAAGAAACCCTACTGCAGAAACATTCTACTACCTCGGGCTCACGGGACTAAGCGTAGGAGGTACAACATTGTCAATCCCTACTAGGTCATTTGTAATAGACAAGGACGGGAGCGGTGGGGTGATCATCGACACCGGAACAGCCGTGACACGGTTGGAATCACGGGTGTACGAGTTGTTACGAGATGAGTTTCGTAAGGGGACTAGTCATCTACCAACGGCAGACGAGGTGGCAATATTTGATACATGTTATAACCTTAGAGGACAAGAAAGTGTAGAGGTTCCGGCAGTGGAGTTTCACTTTGCCGGTGGAAAGAGTTTGGCGTTGCCGGCGAAAAATTATGTGATTCCGGTGGATACAGAAGGGACGTTTTGCTTAGCATTTGCACCAACAACAGCATCAATGTCTATAATTGGGAATGTACAACAAGAAGGGATACGTATTGGGTTTAATCTTGTTTATTCCTTAGTTACCTTTGAGCCTAATGAATGCTAATTTAATTTTTTTTTTTTAAATTAGGTTTAGGTGTATTATTATTTATTTCAAGATTTGTGATACATGGAAAAAATTAATAATTCAATAGTACTATTTCAAATATGAGTGATAATTTTTTGTTGGTATGTATCAAAATCTTGCAAATTTACATTTTAAGGAGAATGAACGAATTGGATTTCATATTGTCATGTAATTTTGGAGAAGAGGATAGTTTTTAAATAGCCACAATAAAATTGTAGTCATTGTATTAAATCTAATTACAACGTTATTTTTATTGATTAATGTGAATTGTTGATATGTTTTGTGTTTATTTTATTTTTAAAAAATTGACCGACAAAAGGAATTAAAAAAAATATCATGTTGTTATCAGTTTTTGCTTCTTCTTTATTTACTCAGTATTTTTCCCCCTTGCTTCTCTTCAATCTTTGTTCATGATCCATGCATACTGATTATAATTGGCTATCCAACCATTATTGTCATCTTCACAGTATTTTTTTTCCTTGAATGCACCCTTTGATTTACTCTATATGTCTTTAACTTTTTATGAATTTATTTCAGGCTAGATACTTGGGAGTTTGGAAAGTGATTTCAAGTAATAACAATTAATTAGAAATTGGCAATTGCCAAGTTCCATTTTTTGAGTTTAGATTAATTTCTCGTTTCCTGAGTATGTGCTACGCATCTTGCGAGTTGCGATGGGATGACAAAATCGCCACAATGCTATTGTGGATCCACTACCAGTCTGTTTTTCTATTTGCTTAATTGCTTTTTGCGCATAGTGCTATGGCATTAGATCAGACATTCAAATAGAGTTGCTTGAATTTCTTGCAATATGTATCCAGAACAATGGAAACAAAGAAGAAAGATTAAAGAGAAGTAAAGGGAAAAATAAACTGAATAAACAAAGAAGAAACTAAAAAGAAGATAAGAATGTGATAATTTTTTAATTTTTTTTTTGTTCAATTTTTTTTTTAAATAAAATAAAAACTAAACCATATCAACGGTATACATTAGTCAATAGAAATGAATGGTTATAGTTTATTATGTTATGAAAAATGATTTAATCTGGTGATCGGATGATCTCTATCTCAATTTGTTTTTTTTTTATTATTATTATTAACCATATCTCAATTTTATGTTGACAATCTTTTAGATATACCACTATGATTCACTTTATCAAATTAGGATGATTGTGATTATATCTAGTTATTGAGTAGAGTAACCCAATGAATATATCTGTAGATGGTTTGAGCTAAGGTTACAAGGTTCGGACATGGCCCTATTAGTCACGGTCAATACATGGCTAGAGAATGTTTGCCAATTTAATACTTGTAGAAAATAAAAATAGGTAACATAAACATAATTCTTGCGATATTTTTTTAATTCGGCCCATTATTAACTTGCCACATTGACCTAATAAGATGTGACCCTTTTTCACTCGATTTATTTTTTCTCGTCTAACCCAAATCCTTCGAGATCATAATTAATTGGAGGATAAATTTTCATACTTGGCTAATTAGAGTAAAATTAGCCTGATTTTATTAAGACTTTTTTTTTTTTTTTTTTCGGTGCAATCCTTCATTATTTTTTAATTGTGCTTGCTTCAAATCAACAGCTAAGGCGCAAGGCTATGATTTTCACTAATGGTAACAAGGGATAGGCCACATTTGGTTGAGATTTGCACAAGTTTTAGCATTATCTAATAAAAATTGTTTTTGAACAATTTTGTCTATTGTTTTGATGATTTCATTAGTATTAAACCTAGAATTTTATGCTCTTTATAAAAGACTTGTTGTCAAGACTTCACTTTTAGAAGTAAATATTACTTGTTGGCTTATTGCATATTATATTTCCCATTAGAAGACATTTTATGGTTATCTATGTTATTTTATTTTATCTGTGTAGATGATTAAAATATTCTGACTGTCACTCTAAAACCATTTTTTTTTCCACTTGATAATTACTAAATTTAAATTATTTTTGCTTACATTAAAAGCACCTTATATTATTTATTAATATGTTGGTGCCCTGCAGTGGTGAGGTGGTAGGGGCAACGAGTAAGGGGAAATTTTGGCTATGGAATGGTTTAAAAGTTAGAGAAGGGGAGGTTGAGGATGAAGATCGGAGTAAGTGGTTTAACCATGATTAATTAATGTTAGATTAAACAAAAAATTTAACCAAATAGTCAAAAGTATAGGCCAGGTTACCAATAATAATAGTCAATTTCTTTTATTTTTAGAGCCATTTTCAATTTGATTACAAAATGCTAGATTAAACTACATTTTTCATGAAAAACCATCATTAATATCGCGTTTGATAAATTTTACAAGTTCAAGGCTACCAATGATAATTAGAAAACGTTTTGGCTACCATTGATTAATGTCAATAATACAATGAAAATTTTCCAAAAAAAAAAAAAAGAATAGTTGTCAACATGAATGTATGATTTGTTCTTTTCGCCTGAAATTAGGTGTTTTGGTCTGATTTTAATAACGATCAATATTGTCTAGTTTGGATTGGTTAGATTAATTGTGCGGGATTGACTAAGTTTTGACCTTACTTTTACACTAATGTATAAATAAATAAAATATAGCCAAATGAAATCTTATTAATAACTTCGCCTCATGTGTACATTCCAAATACTCTCTCTAGAATATTCATACTCGTAATAGTTTGACTTTGATATTTCTCATAACTTTTACTACATTTTATTTAATCAAGTATACAAAAATATAAAACAAAAGTTGTTGTGTACTATGTTGTCGAATTAGTCTTAATGTTTATTCCTCTCCGTCAAACTATCCTGAGACTTCGATCTCAGGATCCCTTGTAACCAGGAGGGAAGCTCACCATCTGAATTATCCTTCATTTCCAATACTCATAAAGTCGCATGTACAATTTCATACTTGTTCTATCCTTGAATAATTGATACACTTGAATTTTTTTTTTATGAACCTTTTATTGCTATTATTTAAAATAAAAATTTATAAAAACTTTATAATACAATACTATGCATTAAGATAAAGGAAAAATTGGTAACCCGTTCGCTCAAAATAATTCCAACTATGGATTATTTTTAAATAATCCGAACTTTGAGGGTCATTCGCGTTAACAATCCCAAGTGACCGGTAACCTGTTAAAGAGATAAGAATTTTTTATTTTTTTTGTTTAAGATACACGTGTCACCACATGGTTGGTTAAAAAAAACAAAAATTTTAAAAACAAAAACCAAAAAAGCAAAAAAAACAAAAAACTAGCCAGCCCATCCATCCCCACCCACGACAACCCCACCATCACCACCGTTCCCTATTTTCCAACAGCCCCCTTCCCATCCCCCACCCTCCGGGTGTTAGATATTTAGAGTGTTGATGGTTGCGCGCGCTCGCGAACCATGAAGAGCGCCCGCGCAAGGTAGGCGCGGCCGCGCAGAGAGCGCGCCTAAACCGCGTACCTCTTTGGAAATTGGCAATTTGGAAGGATGAGGTTGGCGCAACCGCGCGTCTGGTGGCACGCCCACGCGTCCTGGTGGCGCGCCCGCGCTGCTAGTCGCGCCTATACCGCGCCCCTCACTGCCTTCTTGTGAAATTTCGCAACTTTTGTGAGGAGCGCCCGCTCCGACTTGAGGAGCGCCCGCTCCAACTTGAGGAGCGCCCGCTCCAACTTGAGGAGCGCCCGCTCCTCATGGTGGAGTGCCCGCTCCTCCGGGCAATTGCGGTTTCGTTTTCTTTTTATTGCGAAATTAAAAGAATGATTGCAAATAATTAAATTTATCCTCTCTGATTTCCTCTCTAAGAATTCTCTCTTCTTCACAATTTCACTAAGAAACTTGCACTCTCTTCTTGAAATACTCCATCAATTAAGTTTATAATTGAGAATTTGATCATCTTTCTACACATCTTTGTGCTTAGAGTATAGTGTTCATCTATTGTATCTCAAAGCATATTTCTAGTTCAACCCAAGCACCGTTGTGGGGGAAATTAATGCTTTAGGAAAGTGTTTACACGCCTTAGACGAGTATCAAGTGTTGAAGACTCACGTGGTCTATGGTACTCTCGTGTTCTTGGTTGTTTATTTGGTTTGGAGTAAGGCAAGTATAGTTCTTCATACTTGTAGTTTGGTTTGATTCTCTGTAATTTTTGCTTTCTAAACTTGTTGGTGTTTGGTTTGTTCGTGTAATTAGTATTATATTACATTGTAATTTATTTATCAATTTCATAGTTCTAGAATTTGTTCTAGTAGGAACATATTTCCTAACACCGGCAGCCCTTCTCCTCATCCCCCACCACTGGAATCCCCCCTTCCCCACCACATACTCAGCGAAATCGACCCTCCCTCCCCGAATCACCCTTTGATTCCCACCCCCAGCCCCGAAAACCACCCTCTCCCTTCCCCTCCCATACCCCCATCCCTGTTGCCGTCGCAAACCCAACGCTACGCTACCCCAACCCTCCATCCCTGTTGTCTTCGGCAAGACCCAACCCCACCCTTTTTTGCGTGGGATTCAACGATTGGGTTTGTGGGTTGGTTAGTGTGGTTGTTTTGGGGGTGGTTACGAGGCAATTTTTCATGGCTGCGGGTGGTTGAGGGATGGTTGGAGGAAAGGGAAAGGTGACAAAAGTTGGTCGGGGCTGGCAGGTTGTGACGGGGGTTAGCTTTGGGTGGCTGCGGTGAACGGCAAGTGGCTGACGAGAGCAAGGGAGGAGAGAGATTTCAAAAAAAAAAAAATTGTTTTTTAGATTTTTTAATTTTAACTTTTTTTAAAAAAATTTTTAACTTTCAACCAATAACGTAGTGCCACATGTCCTTTAACCTGGTATAATAGGTTAGGTGACCGATTGGGACCGTTAAAAGCAAATGAGCCCCAAAGTTCGGATTATTTAAACATAATCTATAGTTGGGATTATTTTGAGTGAACGGACAAAAGTTGAGATTACTTTTACCAACCTAAGATAAATCCAACAACTTACTCATTAACATTTTATTTTATACGGAGTATAATAGCAATAGTATGTCTAAATTGAGATCATGTTACTTTCGAATGAATGGGGTCGGGCAAATAAGTTTTTGACATCTTCACAAAGCACATAGTATGTTGTTACTTATTTTTATTGG